CACTAATCAGACACTGACCCCCCCCCCTCCCCCCCTCCGATGACAGCTTCTGATTGGTCAGCCTGTTACACGTGGCTAATTCCAGGGACAGCTGACCATATTTACCGAATTATATCTAAAAGATTGATATATATCCAGCAAATAGATCCCCATTATACTACCTCCCAATGCTCATCCGCGCCATCTAGGGGCCACAATGCGGTATTACAGCACAATGCAACTTGAACAGAAAATGTACTAGAAACCTTCGTTTTTGCCTCTAGTCACACAGAACGAATGTTCTGAGATTCACAAAGTGAACGGCTCTGCGAATTACCAACAGACCCCGTAGTGACTGATTTACTAAAGGAGTAGAGGGCGGTCACTTTGCACAGGGAGTCCTCTTAGCTTAGTGAATACGAGGAAGCGGTACTGACTTCAATCATCCAATCACGTGCAAGTAAAAATCCGGTTCCCTATTTTCCTCTCCTGTGATTGGCTGCTCTGCGCAGAGAGAATTTTCAGCACATTTCGGAAGGGAAGTGACTGCAGAGGACGTGGTGACCTCGACCGGGAGAAAAGACCTCATCCGGCAGACTGGACCTCCCCTGGGGAACGGGACCTCCGATGGGATCTCCACCAGGACCTCCTGCGGGAGACAGGACCTCCAACAGGACCTGCTCCGAAGATACAAAATATATAAAATATAAAAATACAAATTTGATAAATAAAAATGAATGAAATACAAAAAAATATAAAAATAAAATACAAAATATTAAAACAAAAATAAAAAAATATAAATAAAAAATGAATAAAATACAAAATATAATAAAATATAAAAATCCTAACCCACAAGACCCAGTTTTACCTGTTGGGGGGCAGCGTGGAATGATGACGTTTACTCTGATTGCTTGAGTGTGAAAGACTCAGACAAGCTGTTTATTGTCATTCCGAGTCTCTGGAAATACAAACCTGCACCGGAGTCATTGCAGCATTCCCGGCCGCACAAACCCGATATTCCTTATAGGTTGGCTACACTCATTGTGATATTGCATGTTAGAGCACAGGTGGGGGTATAGGACGGTGAGGGTATAGGTGGGGGTATAGGACGGTGAGGGTATAGGTGGCGGTATAGGACGGTGGGGGTATATGTGAGGGTATAG